CTCCACTCTTTCCTTTTTTTTGGTTTCTCCTTATACCAATATAATCTTGTATCCTTTGAACAGTTTAATTAATAAAAATAATATTAGTCTTCTTTCAATCTTTTTCCTCTGATCTCGAGTTGGTATTAGAGTCTATGTCCAGTGGGCTTGATCAAAATTCATCCATTGTGCAGCCATCTTCCAAGGCTGTTGTTTGCTGTAGGTGCTCCTTGCTCCGGCAAACCCCTCCATCAGCTCAACTTAGTCAGATCAGAGTTCTCCAAAAAGCTCTGTCATTGTCTTGTCACTCACGCTGCCACACATCTTCTTGTGGAAGAAAGTCACTGGTTGAGATCCCCATGCCACCTTCCCATGCTTTGACAACCTCATTGCCAGCATCACCCTGCTCATCTATGCCTCCCAACTCCATTGAAACCCAGTTTGGCTAGTAGGTAACTAGGTATCATGTTTTTGGCACCTTAGTCCCTATTTTAATGTAGTATTTCTTGGTCTTTCTCAAGTCGGTCGGTGCTGGTCTATTCTTTTATATCATGAGTTCTGTATCAGGTTTCGTCAAGATGATTCTAATGGTTCTGGGTTTTCCAACAAGGGCCTTGTATCCTTTTGCTTATCTGGCAATCCCATTATAACATTGGAGAAACTTAATGGGATTTTTTATTTTGGTCAGACACTGTTAAAATCTGGTTTCTTGGTCAAAAGGCTCGCTGATCATCTCACTAAGAAGTCCTTAGAGATTGTTGCCGACATTGCTGAGTTACATGATGATTGGGTGTAGATAGACTACCAAGTACCAATTGATCTCACTTTGTTGGTTCATTACCACTCCTACACTACATGCCATGATACTTTGAAGAAGGCTCAGAGTAGAGTGTCTATTTTAATGATATCCAATGATTAGTCCTCCAATAATGGCAGATAGCTTGAGCCTAAGAACAATAAACATAATGTGTTATCCAATGATAAGTATAAGGAGTTCTTGCTCATACTAGTAACTCAATAATCTCTCTCTCAATCCTTGTTTGTTTCTTAGAATGTGAGTTTGAGTCTAACTCAACTTTACAAAATCAGTTTGTAAGGTAAGGGTTGTCCCCCACTTATATAGTTTTTATTTGCTTTATCTCTGGTCGATGTGAGATATAGATTTTTCCATATACAGCCCCGCACACCCAACATTATTGGACTTTGTGCGCGGATAAGTGGTGAATGACCTTTTTTAATGATCTAGAATGGACGAGACTTGAGTTTTTTCCCAATACACTTTCTTATGTCCAAACTATTGGGCTTGGTACGTGAATAAATGGTGGGTGATTCTTCTTGCAAATCTGGGATAAATTTGATACAATCTTAGAATGTGAGTTTGGATTTAACTCAACCTTAATAAACCGGCTTGTAAGGTGAAGATTGCCTCCTACCTATATAATCTTTGTTTATTTTATCTTTAGTTGATGTGAGATTTGGGTTTTTCCCAATATTTATCCCTGGATTTTGGACTCTAGTGCTTCTAATCATGTACTTGGTAATCCCTTTTTTTTGTCAAAATCATCCTGACCTAAAACTCCTCATTGTGTTACTCTTGTAGGTGGGTTAAAAGATCTAGGTCGGTTGTAGTATTTCCTTGGAGTAAGAAGCAGAGTGTACTTGCCAAATTCAATGCATGGGCCAAGTATTGAGCTATGGCGCTCACCACATGTGAGCTCCTTTGGCTGAAACACCTCTATGAATTGTGTTAATGCAAAGTAGGCTTTATAAAATTCATTTGTGACAACCAAGTAGCCCCACACATTGCCTCCAATCCACTCTTGAATGAGCAGACAAAGCTTATTGAGATCAATTGTCATTTTATTTGTGAAAAGTTTGTCGGTTCTAATGGGTAATGAGCAGCTAGCAAATATTTTGATAGTCTCTTAGAGCACAAGGATAGGTTACATATGTTGGCAAGTTTGATACTTACAATCTATATGCTCCAACTTGAGGGGTAGTGTTGAGATATTATGTAGACTGCTGAGATATCCCAGGGGATATGATACAGATTTGATTTGGGTGACTTTGTTCTTATTTATAGCATATTTGATTTGTATTTATGCGGATAGTTATTTTTAGGAAATTTGTTGTGCATTATGTAATTAGGATCATATCCTTTGTTGTTCACATATCCTTTTTACAGTTTAATAAATCTGAAATATTCAAATTTTTTTAGTATTTTCCTTTGGTCTCAAGTGGGGACAACAAATTTGAATGGAAGAATGAACTTATAGCCATTTCTTTTGAATACAACTTACTTGAATGTGGTGAAAAATGAAAATAGTAAGGGGTGCAATTTTACGTTGTCTCTACAACCTTAATGCCTTAGGTGCTTCTCTCTCCTCGCATGTGTCTGTGACTGTATGTATAATATCAATATCTTACAATACTCTTTCCAGGTATGAAAAAGGTGGGCATTTGTTCCTACCATCTTATATCATGCGCACTCATGGATCCAAGAAACAGCAAGATGTAATGAAGAATGTTGAAAGGAAACAAATGCAAAAAGTTTGTGAGGTACTATATATAAATTTTCATTTCCCTTTTTCATCACCAAGAAAGGAGTGTGGCAATATATTAATCTGATAAAAAACTTGGTGCATTGTTGTTTGCTTGATATCAAATAAATGGTTCCGTTCATATTTTTAATGAACATTATTGTTAATTTCTCTTAACTTTCATTATATTGTAGTCTTCTACATTTAAAGGTTCTTTGGAGTTTGGACTCAGAAATTAATTATTTCTAGAATATTATTTTAGCTATCATTCTATTTAATTTTCCCTGCACAAAGGCACAATTCTTTTGACACCTGCATATTTGGTCTCAATTCGTTACTTTGCTTCTGGTATATAAGCTTAACCTATTCTTCTTTTTAATGATACATTTTTATAGGCCTTGGATACACTTGGCAACACCAAATGGCGAGTAAATAGAAGATTACTTAGTGTTGTGGAGTCCCTCTGGGCAGGAGGAGGTAACATTGCAGGTCTGATTGATCGTAAAGATGTAAGCATAAACAATGACAACTTTTTAAGATATCCTTATCTAAGTCCTTTTGTCTATCTTTTTTCTGTTTACCTATTGCTTTTGAAAATTACACTGCAAAGCTAAATAAAAAAATAATTAAAAAGAAAGAAAGTTTAACATAAACTACTTAAATATACTCATTGTATATTTCCACCCTTTTTCATAAAATGATTAAAATGTGATGAGTTCTCAACATTACCTATTGTTTGTAATTCATCTTGCCTATATACAACAAAGTATCAATACTTCAATTTGCTTCATGTATTTGATAACGATACATATTGGTGAAGCATCTAAGTCTTTAAAACATTTTGTAAGAACCCTATATAGCTACATGAGACATATAAGTATATATGATATAGAAACATAGAAGTATTGTCCTTTGATGAACCAAAAATGGAAATTTTCCTCTTTATGAATAATTTCAAGATAGGAATGAGATTAATAGTACCATGCCTATTTGTAAATAATAGGAAGTAATTTATGATGACAATGATCTATAATTTTTTTAGTAATGTCCAAAAATTATGTTCTTAATTTGGATTTGTAGAATTACAATTATATATTTATTATGTTTTATGATTTTTTATACATATCTAAATATGGATCTTATACGTGTTGTTCTTATACATTTTTAGAATATTTATATTGTCTTATTGGATATGTATCATATTTGATACATCTATCGTATTTGTGCATCATAGCCTACATATATTCTTAATTGACGTGTAGGTTCCTATACCAGAGAGGCCACCCGTAGAGAATTTAAAACAGATTCAGGAATGGAAGTGGAGTGTAAGGAAGGCAGAGAAAATTAATCTAGAGCGACATTCTCTAAGATGTGACACTGAACTCAAGCTTTCTGTAAGATCTCCTCTCCAATTGTCAAATAGTTTTCTGTTTATTTGAACAATTTAAAATTCCAATTTTATTTGTTATATCAATGACCTATGGCTTGCCTTGATCTTGTATGGTAGAATGTTGATCAATCTAAGTATCTAACCATACTTATACATTTATATTGGTTTCGTTTGATCATGAGTTGCATAGTCTCAACTAATTTTTGCATAATTATTTTCAAATTTATCCCATGTTAATTACAACAAAAAATACATCTGAGATAGGTGGCTCGAAAAATGAAAGATGAGGAAGGCTTTTATTATCCCCACAATGTTGACTTCCGCGGCAGAGCATATCCCATGCATTCTCATTTGAATCATTTAAGTAGTGATCTATGTCGAGGATTGCTCGAGTTTGCTGAAGGGAGGCCATTAGTAAAGTCTGGACTCCACTGGCTGAAGATACACTTAGCAAATTTGTATGCTGGTAGTATTGAAAAGCTGTCTTATGATGGCCGCCTAGCTTTTGTAGAGAATCATCTCCATGATATATTTGACTCTGCTGATAACCCTATTAATGGAAATCGTTGGTGGTTAATGGCTGAGGATCCTTTCCAGTGCCTTGCTGCCTGTATCAATCTGTCAGAAGCCTTAAGAAGCTCATCACCAAATTCTGTTATCTCACATCTGCCAATTCATCAGGTAAATGCTTCATTGGAAGCCTTAGGATTCAAAAAGAGCCATTATAACTTTGCAGACTACTTTTACAAGGGACCAAATTGACTCCATGCTCCCCTATGGATTGATGACGCATAGAAAATTTCTGCTAGATCATTAGTTAAAATTACGCTATCTAAATGATAAATACAATCATAGGGGGAAAAATATTGAAAATCATTATCATATTTATCCAGCTTTCAATTTAATTTTTTCCTCTTTTTCTTATATTTTTTAAAATTGCTAATATGACTGCTTTGATGAATTCTCAGGATGGTTCCTGTAATGGCTTACAGCACTATGCTGCTTTGGGAAGAGATGCTGTAGGTCTACTTATATCCCATTTTGATTTTGCAATCACTCATCACTCTTGATATAATCTGTGTTTTCTTTGTTAGATATATATACTTCCTCAATTTTGTGATAATTATTTTATAATATTTTTTGTTGCTGGAAAATTCCATTGTATACTATTCTCACTTCACTAGAATAAATGTGATTTGTCAGCTGGAGGCTACTGCAGTTAACTTGGTCGCTAGCGAGAAACCAGCTGATGTTTACTCAGAGATTGCTGTTAGGTATTTGAAATCCTTTAGCTGAAGTCTGAATGCAAAATGCATTGAAATAGGAATATCATTTGAATAGTTACTTTTTGGTTATAATTTGTTACCTCGTGACCTACTTTGCTATATATTGCGTGACATGTAGATTTTCGTGATCTACACCCCATAGCTCTAGGTGTGGAATTGGTTTTGTGAACTATGCATAATATCTAATTTTCACTTGAATGTCATATTCGAGCAGGGTTCATGATATTATGAGAAGGGACAGCAACAAAGACCCAGCTGCCTATCCAGATGCTTTGTTAGCAAAAGTTTTAATTGATCAGGTCAATATTGATTAAAATTTATTCTCCTGTGGTTAGCTATAATCTCTTCTTTTTTACTCATCCAACTTTTAGAAGCTTTCAGATTGATAGGAAACTGGTCAAACAGACAGTGATGACTTCAGTTTATGGTGTTACTTTTGTTGGGGCACGAGAGCAAATAAAGAGAAGATTAGAGGAGAAAGGACATATTACTGATGAAAAACTTTTATTTACTGCAGCTTGCTATGCTGCTAAAGTAAGTTTCAGTCATGTTATACAGAGCTATATTTGCTATCAGAAATCGCGATGGCTTACAATGTGTATTTCTTATCATTGCATCATCAGGATATTATTCCCTGCTGGAATATTTACAGTGCAGAAAATATTATTTTTAGACCCGATCAATATGAAACCTAGTTAAAGTTTTCAGATGGGGTTGGTTATATCACAGTATCATATATTTAGAACTATCCCAGTTTCTAGTTCCTAATAGGTTTGGTTTGATTAAATCTTTCAGTAATATATGAATGGAAATACATGTTAACCAACATGCAAAGACATGTTTATACAATAAATCTGCTTTCTTGTCTTATATTTAGATACTGCTATCATTCTATAGGTGACATTAACTGCCCTTGGAGAAATTTTTGGAGCTGCACGTTTCATTATGGCCTGGCTTGGTGATTGTGCAAAGGTTTGGTTTCATAGCATGATGTACTTAAAATGATACTGAAATCCTACTGGTTTTGGTGCTCATGTATATGTGTATGCCTGCATGTTTGTGAGCTTTCTTTCTATTCCTGAATGGTGGGATCTGAAACTTGTTATAGGTGATTGCTTCTGAAAACCAGCCTGTTCGTTGGACCACTCCTCTTGGTCTTCCAGTTGTACAACCATATTGTAAAACTGAACGTCATCTGGTAGGCTTTTTATTTACAAATGATTTACCCCCTTTTCTTTTATTTTATAGTGACAAGTTAAAACTTAAAATCAACATACTGAAACTGAATGTACGATGATGTAAGATATCCACCTAAATGGTTAAAAGAACTTTTGTAACAATCCCATACAAGTAGGTAACTTATGTGGCATGATGCAATGGACTAATGTATCAACAGATCAGTGTGGAACTGTGTATGGTTGTAATTGTTGGCATTTCACAATTTTCTGAAGCAGTTATACTATGAGTCGTAACCATTATTCTCTATGAATGAAATGGTTTGTATTACATCATTTTGGTGGCTCATCACAGGAGTGTGAAATCTTTTATGTTGGTGATTTATTTAATCCAATAGTCTCTCAATTGTGAGACACCTGAACAAAGTCCTGCTATTAGGCAATGCAATGGAGATAGACCAGTCAGTTACCTACAGAGTATGTAATAATAAATTAATGGCGGTGGCTGTAGGGCTCCATTGTGCTAGAATTATTTTCGTGTGACCACCTGAAATTTCCTCATAATGTCTAGACCTTTCTAATATTGTGTGCTTGTCTGCCTCTCAGAGCACGGCACAATTATTGAGAAACAATAGTTTTAAGCAACATAGATTTGAAGGTGTTGTGTATTTCAATTATAGAATTAGCAGTAACTTAAAACCCATGACAGGTGCCAATAATTGTTCATTTGAATCAAACAAACCATATAGTTTTAGAACTTTTTGACTATCTCGAAGTACCACACTTATGAATCTCACCTTTGACCACAGATCAGAACGTCTCTTCAGTTTTTGGCTTTGAGGCGGGAGGGCAATGCAGTAAGTGTACATAGTCCTCTTTTTTGCAGCTTTCTTTATTTCTGAACTATTTTCATTATTAAAACTACTTGTATTCCAGGTAGATGCCAAGAAACAGAGAACTGCATTTCCTCCAAACTTTGTACATTCACTGGATGGTTCACACATGATGATGACTGCTCTTGCCTCTAGGGATGCTGGCTTATGTTTTGCAGGTTTTAAGACCTCCTTTCACAAACATGCAAAACTTCCATCTAAAGTCACAAATTTATACAACATTGTTTTATTAGAGATTTTTTTCTGGTTCCAAGGGAGCCTGTGTAGACCTAGGAAGTGGGGGAAGGGAAAGAGGTCAGGAGTT